GAGAAATACTTCCTACTATCTCTCTGACTCATTTGTGTCTTCAACTCCAATGTGCCTCTTGTTTCTGGTGTCCCCTCCCTGGAACATCCTGTCCTTGTCCACCTTGTCTATTCCACGCAGTATTTTATAATTCGTTATCTGTCTCCCCTGACCCTCCTGTCCCTCCATTGTCGTCCAGGCCGATTTCCCTTAATCTTTCTTCATAGGACATTCCCCCCTAAGCTCTGGAACTAACCCTTGTTGGCAAACCTTTGTACTTTCCTCTAGTTTCTTTGACTGCTTTATCAAGTTGCGGTTATCCAAACAGGTGCTAGGCATACTCCAGGTATGGGCCCTGACATACACGGTGTACAGTGTCTTGAAGATTCCTTACTAAGGTGTCGGAATGCTGTTCATCAGGTATTGCCAGGCGCCCATATGCTGCAGCAGTATCACTGATTGATGTGTGTTTCCCGAGACTGCTCGGTGTTATACTCCAACCCCAAGATCTTCCTCCTAGTGTATGAGTTTTGCGCAGTCTTGGCCACCTAGCCATATACTCTGTCTGTGGTCTTCTGTGCCCTTCCCCTATCTTCATGACTTGCATTGGCAGGATTAAATTCGAGAAGCATTTTGCTGGACCAGGTGTCCAGCTGTACCAGGTCTCTTTGAAGTCCGGGCCTGGTCCTCATGCAATTTAATTCTCCTCATTAACTTCACATCATCTGCAAACAGGGTCACTCTGAGTCTAACCCTGTTGCCGTCATGGTCCTTCACATATACCAAAAATAGCACTGTCCTAGGACCGACCCTGTGGGACTCCCCGCTCGTTCACAGGTGCCCACTGTGATACCATCATTACGTACCATGACTCGTTGTTGCCTCCCTGTCAGGTATTCTCTGATCCAATTGCAAGGCCCTTCCTGTTATATGGCCATGCTCTAGCTTCTGCACGAATTTCTCTGGAGGAACTGTGTCAAAGGCCTTCTTGCAGTCCAAGAAGATGCAATCAACCCACCCCCCTCTCTCTTGTCTACTTCCGTTATTTTATCATAAAACTCCCATAATTTGTGACACAGGATTTTGCCTTCCAGAATCCGTGCTGGTTGGCATTATCTCCTTTTCCGTTCACAGGTGCTCCACCACTCTCCTCTGTAATCTTCTCCAATAATTTTGCATACTATACACGTCAATGACACAGGTCTAAGAGTTTAGTGCCCTTTCTGTCTCCTTTTTTGAAAGTGGGAACTACATTTGCCGTCTTCCATACCTCAGGTAGTTCCCAGTTTCTCAAGGATGTGTTGAAGATTGTGTAAATGGTAAATGCACAACATATCTGCTGTCCCTCTCTAAGGACCCATGGAGAATGTTGTCCGGAAAATCCCATTGCCTTGAGGTATCGATGTCCCTTAGCAGTTTCTTCACCTCCTCCTCCATCTGTATGTATGTCGTGCCAACACTTGTTGGTGTAATTCCTGTTGGTGTCCCCATCTGGTCTGTCCCCCCAGAGTCCTACCTGTCTCTACTGTAAATACTTCCTTTAAATCTCGTGTTGAGCTCCTCACATACCTCTTGATCGTTCTTTGTGAGTTTCTGCCACCTTCTTTCCTCAGCCTTATCACTCTGGTCACTTGACTGTTGTCTTCCTCCTAATAGTGGCTATACAGCATTTCGGGTCAGATTCGACTTTCGATGCTATGTCGTTTTCATACTGTCGCTGGCCTCCCTCCTTATCTGCGCATTACTCGTTTCTGGCTCTCTACTAATCATCCTCGTTTTCGCCTGGTCCTATGCCTCCTGATACCATTTCCATTCCCTTTGCACTTAGTTTTTGCATCCCTACACCTTCGGGTAAACCAAGGACTCGTTTTGGTCATCCTATTATTCTGATTCCCTTGGGAACAAAACTTTCACTCTGCCCCTTGCACTTTGTTGTCACGTATTCCATCATTTCGGTTTTACCGCTGAATTTCCGACCAATTCTCTGTCCCACTGAACCTCCTGCAGAAGTTTCTTCTCATCATGTGTAGTTTCCCCGTTCCCCCCTTTTATAGTTTGGGCCCGTCCCCTTCAGTTCCAGTTACCTTCTCAACTTGTAACTCTACTTAACAATATAGTCAAAACTCAAACCACATGATCGCTAGCCCAAGGGGCCTCACGTAAGTGATGTACTCGATGTCCTGAACTGCTTCAGGTGTAACACAAGATCCAGGTCTTGCTGGCTCATCCCCCCTCTATCTCTGTTGTGTTCCCTGACATGTTGATGCATTGAGTTTTCAAGTAGCCACATCCCATCATCTTGGCTCCCATTTTCGGGACCCCTCCATGGGCTCCAGGTTTCCCATCGATCTCCCTGGTTGAAATCGGCCCATTACCAGTAACTTTGCTCTGCACGAGTGAGCTCTCTTGCACCCTCAGCCAGTGTGTCCACATCACCCTGTTGTTTTCTCGTACTCCTCTCTTGGCCTCCTGCAGTTCTGTGGTGGGTTATACATCACGTCCAATGACATTTAATGTTCTCCGACTGAATTGTACCTACAATGTATCTCTTTCTCCAATCATGTCCCCATGCCTTCCATTCTCAAATCCCCATGGTGTTTTATGAGCAGTGCAACTACACCCCTATCCTCCCTCCTCACTTCCTCTATCTTTCCTCAGGATCGTGATATCCCTTTTTGGGAAGATTGTGTCTGTATTGTCCGAGCGAGTTTTGTTTCTGTGACTTGCTATGATATCATGTGGATTTTTCAACTGATTCTTTCATTCCACTCCTCATGTTATTCGTTATTCCATCCGCGTTGTGTACCAAACCTTTAGTTTCTTTTCTATCATTGTCGTCATGCAAGTATTTTGGGGGTTTGGGGGGGAGCGAGAGCCTTGGTGGGGGCCTATAGGGGCTGTGGTGTAGGTGGGGTATGTGTTGATGGGGTGGGTCAGGATGCCCATAAGGGACAGCTGTTGGGGTGAGGTTTGTGATAGGGGGGTTGGGGCAGAGGGAACAGTGAGGGGGTTTTGTAGTATAGGTTGCTCAGTTGCGTTGGGAATGTCGCGGGTGGAGTCTTTTGGCGGGAGATTCTGTGGGGTGTTTTTTGCCCTTCCCCCTTTGTGTCTGGTCCTGCTCATTTTCTTGCTTCTCGTTCCTCCTTGCGTCTCTGTACCCTCTCTTTCAGTGTAGTCCTTTCTTCTTGGTTCTGTCGCGGTCGAGGTATACCCCTCTGGTACCCTCTTTGTCCCTCAGTCTTGCTTCTCTTGCAGAATCCTGGTTCGAACTGATTTTCCTTGAAAGTTACTCTGACAGGCCGTATCCTTCCACTCGCAAACCACCCAATTCTCTGAAAATTTTCACCTGGGTCATTTTCCCCTCCCCTATTGTTTTCATGATGCCTTCAATCATTTTTTTCTCCCCCCTGTTTTATTTCTTCAAAGTTGGGCCCCCCTTTGGGTTCTTGGAGCCCGGTGGTGTGTGTGTGTGTGGTGTGTGTGTGTGTGTGTGTGTGTGTGGTGTGTGTGTGTGTGTGTGTGTGTGTGCGTGTGCGTGTGCATACTCACCTATTTGTACTCACCTATTTGTGGTTGCAGGGGTCGAGTCTTAGCTCCTGGCCCCGCCTCTTCACCGGTTTGCTACTGGGCCCCTCTCTCCCCGCTCCATGAGCTTTATGAAACCTCGTCTTAAAACTGTGTATGGTTTCCTGTCTCCACTACGTCATTTTCTAGGCTATTCCACTGCCTTACAACTCTATGACTGAAGAAATACTTCCTACTATCTCTCTGACTCATTTGTGTCTTCAACTTCCAATTGTGGCCTCTTGTTTCTGTTCCCCTCCCTGGAACATCCTGTCTTGTCCACCTTGTCTATTCCACGCATATTTTATATGTCGTTATCATGTCTCCCCTGACCCTCCTGTCCTCCAGTGTCGTCAGGCCCCATTTTCCCTTAATCTTTCTTCATAGACATTCCCCTTAGCTCTGGAACTAACCTTGTCGCAAACCTTTGTACTTTCTCTAGTTTTCTTGACGTGCTTTTTTCAAGTGCGGGTTCCAAACAGGTGCTGCATACTCCAGTACGGGCCTGACATACACGGTGTACAGTGTCTTGAATGATTCCTTACTAAGGTATCGGAATGCTGTTTCTCAGGTTTGCCAGGCGCCCATATGCTGCAGCAGTTATCTGATTGTGTGTGTTTCCGGAGACATGCTCGGTGTTATACTCACCCCAAGATCTTTCTCCTTGAGTGAGGTTTGCAGTCTTTGGCCACCTAGCCTATACTCTGTCTGTGGTCTTCTGTGCCCTTCCCTATCTTCATGACTTTGCATTTGGCAGGATTAAATTCGAGAAGCCATTTGCTGGACCGGGTGTCCAGTCTGTCCAGGGTCTCTTTGAAGTCCTGCCTGTGTGTGTGTGTGTGTGTGTGACTCAACAATCAATATTTGCACCAATAACTCATTACAGTTGTGACCGGGTGTGGAAGTGTGAATTGCTCATTACTCTATAATTTGTTCATGATTGTAGCCATGTATAAACGTAAGTAACCATTCTACAGAATTCATTACCTTTATAACTTGTGAGCTAATTACCTTTGTACCTAGTTCAGCTATCAAAACTTTGGGGGCCCAGTCCCTGGACCCATTACGTACCTCTGTAATCTGTAAATACCTTTGTAACTTGTCATGATTGTGACCAGACCTACCTGGAGTTCATTACCTTTGTAAATTGTGAGTTCATTACCTTTGTAAATTGTGAGTTCATTACCTTTGTAAAATTTGTGGTTATTCCCTCTGTAATTGTCAGCTATAAAAACTTTAAAAGTCCAGTCCCTGGACCAATTATGTCCCTCGAATTTTTGACTCCCCCCCCACCGGATGGGTAGGGTGCAAAATAAACTATTAAACTAACTTCCGGCCCCCAAAGGGAAGGGTTAAATAATGTTTTTTTAGGGCCCTGAAGTATTTTCCCCAACAACAAACAAAATTCTCATTAGAAAAAAAAATAACAACTTTCTGTTTTAACCCTTATAGGGGTACGTAAAATTTATTGAAGAAACTGTTTTTATTTAAGGTAAGAAGGAATGCTACTGTTTTTTTTTTTTTGAAAAATAGTTCGTTACAGGGATTTTTTTTTTTACCCGGGAGGCCAATGATGGAAAAAAGACTTGGACAGAAAAACGGACGTCCTTAGCCACACTTAAGAGTCCAGGATCGATCCCCCGCGATGAAAGTTGGTCATGTTTCCTTACACCTGTTGTTCTGTTCACCTAGAGTTTAGGTACCTGGGGGTTAGTCGACTAATGTGGGCACATCCGGGGGAAAAAAATCCCCAAATTGCCCGAAAATTTCCCTTTCAGGAGTTTAGGTAATATCCAGGCGTCAGTTTGTCTGCATCAGTTGATTATTTTTTATTACCCTATACTTTAGTTTTCTACGACACACAATTTTATCCAAATTTTCTCCTCCTCATTTTAAAAATTTTCCCCCCCCCGAGTTGTGTTTCACATATGCCCGGACCCTTTGCTTCCTATCACCATAAATAACTGATAGTTTTTTTTTTCCCATTTTCATCTGTACACTCGTTTCCTTCGAATTTTTCCCTTTATAATAATTGTACAAAAAAAAATTACCAGCCTTTTGACTCTACATTTAATTGTCTTTTATAAACACATGGGTTTTGTAGGGAAAAATTTTACCCATTTCCACATGGAATTAGAAAAGGGGGGCATGCTTGATTGTCACCTCAAATGATGTGTACACATCAGAAGAGTACGTAAAGCTTATGGGAAAAAGGAGTGACTTATAGCGACCAGTGAAGAGGCGGGGGCCCGGAGTGTGACCGGCCGTTTCAACCCAACTATGTAGTACACCCCATGTGAGTATTTTTGGGTGTAAGTATTAGTAGCAAGATGTATATCATCTTGTGTGTTTTATATTACTGAAAGGAAAGTGATCAGCAAACCTATCAATATAAATCAATTAACATGTTTCAGTTTCACACGTATTTGGCAGGATAATAGTACTTTCATGAGTGGTTGCTGTTTACCATCTTGCAACTTGTGTCATTTGCAAAAATAGTCTCCATAAAAACACCTTTGCCACCAAAAAAATTGCAAGATAAATAAAATACCAAAACAGATAAAACAGCTTTATTAGGGAACTTAAAATGTACAAAACATTAACATTTGGTTATTTAAGTATTATCATTAATTACTTTTTAAACCTGTCTTGCACTGAACCACTTAATTTCTGGTATTAAGTCAGGTACATATTAATCCATACATTTTTTATTACCTCCATCAAATCGAAATATGGGCTGTTACCTGAGAATATAACCATAAAAAAACATGCAAAAATACACCTTGAAATTGCTATTTTAAACCAAATTCACTGTCACAGGTTTTTCCCATCGTGCACTGCATGGGGCAGAATTTTTTTTTATATGGTGCACAGCCGGGCTGTGGCTCGTACGTTGGTTTACGTGCAGCCAGCAGCAACAGCCTGGTTGATCAGGCTCTGATCCACCAGGAGGCCTGGTCACAGACCGGGCCGCGGGGGCGTTGACCCCCGGAACTCTCTCCAGGTAAACACTAACCACATAGACCCATTCTCTCATATCTAGGCCCAAATTTACCCCTCACAGCTTATCTGAGTGGGCTGAGCTTATCATGTAGTACTACATCACAGTCCCTGACTTCAAAGCCATAGTACTACGGCATGGACCTCAAAAGAGCAGTTTAAGGAGCAGGTCTTGTTGGTCATGTGGCAGAGGGACAGATGTTGGGTAGTGCTGGGCAGTTCTCTCTTTAGTTGGTGAGTTTGACAAATTGGTGGATATTTTCTGCTATACATAGTCTAATCCTAGTGCTGTTCACAAAAGCAAGGCAAGCTTTGTGCCTACTTCTGTCTGCCCTCTGATAAGGCATCCTCAGATTCTCTTTTTGCAGGTGATGTTGGAGAACACGCTTAGCCAATACTCCCAGAGCATCAGGATGCTTCTTTACTTTCTGAGCAGTAATTGTAGGCTTCAGCATATCTTCTTTCTTCAGAAGAGCATCATTGCATGGGGTGGTCTTCTAGGGCCTCCCAGACACACCCCCATTCCTAATGGGAGTGGTGCTATGAGGCAGGGTGCTTGCAGCTTTTGCTAAGTTCCAGATAGGCTGTGGGGAGCATCCCAAATTCTCAGCAATATCTTTCACAGGGACTTCCTCTTCTTGAGAGTGGTGATAGGAGTCTTCTTCATATAAGGCATCTACTGATCCATTGTGATCCAAAGGAACAGCTGAGATGGCAGCAAAAATAGACAGTCGAGAGCTCAAAAAAGACAAATGGTGAGCATGAAAACATCTCCCTCTAACATGGATTGTGGTTTACTAAGAACTTTGCATTTCTGTCTCCTGTTTACCTGACTTGGGGAATGTCAAACATATGACTATACCTAATTCATTTTCATTATTTGGTTAAAAATGTGTGAATGATATTTGGTACTCATTCAACAGCAATTTTTTTTGGTTTTGCTTTTTTTGGCAAAGATTTTTTGTGGAGACTGTAGATTTGGTTTAAATTCCTGTGAGGCATTAAGAAGGTCATTGATGTGGTTAAGAATTGGCAGAGGACCTAGGACACTGCCCTGAGATACCTTTGTGTATACAGTATTGGTCAAGCTCTTGACACAGCCATTAATAGCCATATGTTTACCTGGAGAGGGTTTCAGGGGTCAATGCCCCCACGGCTCGATCTGAGACCAGGCCTCATAGTGGATCAGGGTCTGATCAACTAGGCTGTTACTGCATGCAAGCTGACATATGAACTACAGCCTGGTTGGTCAGGTACTGACTTTAGGTGCCTGTCCAGTGCCTTCTTAAAGACAGCCAGGGATCTACTGGTAATCCCCCTTATGTATGCTGGGAGGCAGTTGAACAGTCTTGGGCCCCGCATACTAATTGTGTTGTCTCTCAGTGTACTCGTGGCGCCCCTGCTCTTCATTGGGAGAATGTTACATCTCCTGCCGAGTCTTTTGCTTTCATAGGGAATCACTTGATTTTCGTGTGCAGGTTTGGTACCAATCCCTCCAGGACCTTCCAAGTGTATATTATCATGTACAGTGGACCCTCGATCAACGATGGCATCGACAAACGACTAAATCGGGTAACAATGCTTTTTTTCATAAAAATATTGGCTCGACCAATGATGAAAAACTCGGGTAAGGACATTCGTCCCGAACGCGTCTGGCTGTCCATCCAGCTTGAGCGCCACAGCTGCCCTGCCTTCAGCTAGTGTGCCATTGTTTACAAGCCAGGGCAGATGTTTCCATTGTTTTTAGTGCTTGTAACTGCTAAATAAGCCACAAAGGGCTCAAAGAAAGTTTCTAGTGCCAACCCTGCAGTAAAAAGGGTGAGAAATACTATCTAAATACTATCGTACCACGGCCAGCTGTTGCTGCACCACCATCAGCTGCTGCTATACCACCATCAGCTGCTGCTGTACTACCATCAGCTGCTGCTGTACCACGGTCAGCTGCTGCTGTACCACGGTCAGCTGCTGCTGTACCACAATCAGCTGCTGCTGTACCACGGTCAGCTCCTGCTGTTGCTTCACTACCATCAGCTGCTGCTGCACCACCATCAGCTGCTGCTGTACCATGGTCAGCTGCTGCTGCACCACCATCAGCTGTTGCTGCACCACCATTAGCTGTTGCTGCACCACCGTCAGCTGCTGCTGTACCACCGTCAGCTGCTGCTGCTGCTGTACCACCATCAGCTGCTGCTGTTGCTGTACCACCATCAGCTGCTGCTGCTGCTTCTTAACCACCATCAGCTGCTGTACCACGGTCAGCTGCTGCTGCACTACCGTCAGCTGCTGCTGTACCACGATCAGCTGCTGCTGCACCATCAGCTGCTGCTGTAACACCGTCTGCTGCTGCTGTACCACCATCAGCTGCTGCTGTACCACCATCAGTTGCTGCTGTACCACCATCAGTTGCTGTTGTACCATGGTCAGCTGCTGCTGTTGCTGCACGACTGTCAGCTGATGCTGCACCACTGTCAGCTGCTGCTGCACCACCATCACCTGCTGCTGTACCACCATCAGCTACTGCTGTACCATGGTCACCTGCTGCTGTACCACCGTCAGCTGCTGTTGTACCACCGTCAGCTGCTGCTGCTCCCCCAGGATGCGACCCACACCAGTCGACTAACACCCAGGTGAACAGGAAAAAATGCCTGGAACTAGTGCTCATATATTGGTGAATTTAAAGCCAGCAAAGGGTGGTTTGAGAGATATAAGAATCGTAGTGGCATACACAGTGTGATAAGGCATGGTGGAGCTCAAAAATTCCAACCCCAACAAGTGTTCATTTGTGACAAAACAGGCCTGTTCTGGAAGAAAATGCCAAACAGGACCTACATTACTCAGGAGGAAAAGGCACTCCCAGGACACAAGCCTATGAAAGACAGGCTAACCCTCATGTTTTGTAGTAATGGTAGTGGTGATTGCAAAGTGAAGCCTTTACTCGTGTATCATTCCGAAAATCACAGTGTTTTCAAGAAAAACAGTGTTGTCAAGACTAAATTGTGTGTGATGTGGAGGGCAAACAGTAAGGCTTGGGTCATGAGGGACATTTTCCTTGACTGGTTCCATGACGTGTTTGGCCCCAGTGTGAAAAAATACCTCCTGGAAAATAAACTGGAACTCAAGTGCCTCCTGGTAATGGTCAATGCTCCTGCTCATCCTCCAGACTTGGAAGAGCGAATGGTGCCGGAGTTTAGCTTCATCAAAGTGGAATTCTTGTCCCCTAATACCACTCCTCTCCTCCAGCCCATGGACCAGCAGGTCATTTCAAATTTCAAAAAACTGTACACCAAAGTGGTGTTACAAAAGTGCTTTGAAGTGACCTCAGACACTGAATTGACCCTAAGAGAGTTCTAGAAAGATCACTTCAGTATCCTCACTAGCATAAACCTTATAGGTAAGGCATGGGAAGGGGTGACTTGCAGGACTTTGAACTCTGCTTGGAGAAAATTGTGGCCAGAATGTATACAAGAGAGGGATTTTGAAGGGTTTGGGGCTGACCCTGAGGAGCCTATGCCAGTTGTGGAATCTATTGTGGCATTGGGGAATTCCATGGGGTTGGATGTGAGTTTGGAGGAAGTGGAGGATGACAATGAAGAGCTAACCACTACAGAACGGCAAGAGCTTGAAGTGCAACACCAACAGACCACAGATCAGGAATTTCCTTCAGAGGAGGAAGAAGAGAGATGGAGGAAGGTGCCTTCTTCAAAGATTAAGGATATTTGTGCAAAGTTGGCAGAAGTGCAAACATTTATGGCTGAACATCACCCTGACACAGCTGTTGCAAGCCTTGCTGGCAACATCTACAATGACAATGTTGTGTCCCATTTTAGGGAAATCTTAAAGACATGCCAGAAACAGACTTTTGGTGCAACATGGGTCCAGTGACTCTCAAGCTGGTGCTAGTGGCATTAAAAAACAAAGAAGGGATGTAACCCTGGAAAAGGGCTTGGTATCTGAAGTCCTTATGGAAGGGGATTCCCCTTCCAAACACTAGTACACCTCCATCCTCTCCCCTCCTCCCATCTCATCACTCATCAATAAGTCTTCAATAAAGGTAAGTGTCATTTTAGTATTGTTTATTCTGCATGTCTCATTGTTTTCTGTGTAGGAAAATGTATATTTCATGTAAAAAATATAATTTTATTTAATACTTTTGGGTGTCTGGAACGGATTAATTGGATTTCTATTATTTCTTATGGGGAAAATTAATTCGAATTAAGTCAAATTCGGTATAAGACACGCTCTCTGGAACAGGTTAATTACGTTAACTGAGGGTCCACTGTATAATCCAATGGGTTTAGAGCTTCCCCATTATAATTATAATATATAATAATAATGTAATAATAATAATACAGTGGACCCCCGGATAACGATCAGCTCCCAACTCGACCAATTATGTAAGTTTATTTTTGTAAGTGCTTTTGTAGGTGTATTTTTAGGGGTCTGAAATGGACTAATCTAATTCACAATATTTCTCATGGGAACAAATTCGGTCTATAACGGCACCCAAACAGACTTTTGGATTGAAATAATATCGTTATGCGGGGGTCCACTGTAATACAGTATAATAATATCATGATATGTCTCAGAATTATAAATATGGCCTGGCAGGGTGTTAAAAGGAGGACCTTGACCTCTGCATGGACGGAGCTGTGGCCTGAGGTTGTGTCCGAAAGGGACTTTGAAGGATTCGAACCCAAAGCGGCAGTGGTGGAGGAGATTGTGTCCCTCGGAAAGTCCATGGGCATGGAGGTGGATGAAGATGTGAATGATCTCATCGAGGAGCACTCCAAGGAGCTGACGAAGGAGGACTTAGATGAACTACATATGCAGCAGCATCAGGAGGTTTTGCAGAACATTCGTTCCGTGGAGGCACCAGATGTAGATAAGGTTATCTCTACCTTTCAGGGCAGGTGAAATTGCTGACCTAGAAAATGTACAGAGAACCTTCACAGCACACATAACGGAGATAAAACACCTCAATTACTGGGAGCACTTGAAGTTCCTGAACCTGTACTCCCTGGAACGCAGGCAGGAGAGATACATGATTATATACACTTGGAAAATCCTAGAGGACTAGTATCGAACTTGCATACGAAAATCACTCACTACGAAAGCAAAAGATTCAGCAGACGATGCAACATCCCCCCAATGAAAAGCAGGGGTATCACTAGCATGTTAAGAGACAACACAATAAGTGTCAGGGGCCCGAGACTGTTCAACTGCCTCCCAGCATACATAAGGGGGATTACCAATAGACCCCTGGCTGTCTTCAAGGAGGCACTGGACAAGCACCTAAAGGCGGTACCTGACCAGCCGGGCTGTGGCTCGTACGTTGGATTGCATGCAGCCAGCAGTAACAGCCTGGTTGATCAGGCCCTGACACACGATGAGGCCTGGTCACAGACCGGGCCGCGGGGGCGTTGACCCCTGGAACTCTCTCCAGGTAAACTCCAGGTACAAGTGAGATATAGGAAATGCTGGGAATCTGGGAGAGACTTTCAGGCTTTACTGAAAGGAAACACCCAGAGAAAGTTGCAACTGGTTGTGCGTTGGAGCTATGTAATGACATTTGCCCAACTCATTTCCAAAACATTCTGAAACAAACCTCCTTGGACATGTTTTTATTGAAATGCCCTGCAGATGAAAGTGTGAAAAGCATAGAGAAAAAGCATTATCTTGAAGTATTTTTTTCCTGCCTCCTGAGAGCAGGAATTCCACTGGAATGGATTAATGGCATTTCAGTTAATTTAAAATGAGGAAATTGACTCGGCATACTAGCAGATCAGGTTACGAGCTAGGTCACGGAACGGATTAAACTCGTAAGCAGATGTTCCACTGTAAATGGTAATACAGCCTCTGCTCACTTAACGATGGAGCTCCGTTCCTAAGACCACGTCGGTAAACGAATTTGTCGGTAAGCAAGGAGCCTACTATAATGGTAGTGGGTTTGTGTCAACTATCTTTGATATTGTTTTAATGTCACCTTTGCACCATTTTTAACATATCTGGTATATTTTTAAATGTTCATACAGTTGTGTACTGTATATTGTAATAAACAGAACAGAGAAAATCAGCTCTAATATACTTTATTTAGGCATGCATACTGGTCAGAGAGCCCATTGTAAGTCCAAGGTGTCGGTAAATGAATATGTCGCTAAGTGAGGAGAGGCTGTATAGCAAAAATGGTTGTCATAAAATAAGACAAAAAATGGCAGTTGTAGGAGTGTGTAAAAGTGTGATTATACTCTACTTCAAGCAAAGGTTTATTTGCTTATTAATATTGTTTATTAAATGACTAAGTTATGTTCATCTCTGATTTTTTTCAGCATATCCTTTCCACCAGAAGAATTGCACCTGCAGTGGTAAGACCAGCATCATAAAAATGATGCAAGTTTCAGAATTACTGCAATGTCAGCAGTGTCATACAGCATACTAATCTGTCAAAAAATATGTTGCATAATAATGTGTGGTAACTAGAAGTTCATCTCAACATTCTGATTACTACAGCTGCAACAGCCTGTAAATATAACTCTGTTTTGCAATATTTTCATGCAGTATTTCAGCCACGTGTTATCAATTTATAATGCTCAAAAAATTTGTTATATTCCAAAGGAAAAATTGTGTATATTTTAAAAATTTGTTAGTAATGCATTTTAAGACTTGTCTCTATTGAAAAATAATTTTTATTATTCTTGACTCCTGCCAATATTTTACACAGATGTACTAGTATCTAAATAGTCAGTAACTGATATTGTGTGAACAGGGTCCCTGGTGCTAAATATCTTAATGTAATACAGTACTTCATAAAAAAAAAAAAATTTAACACTTAGACAATAAGTGTAAAATGTAATTTGAGTTGTGCTGCATCTCCCAAATTTTTCAAAATTTAGTTTTTAGTACTGCATAGGAATTCTTTCTATTCAGTCATTGCAGAACACTGTCTTCCTTCTCCTTTCTTACCTCAGATAATTCATTTTTCACATTAGTAAATAGTTTACTATTACGCTATTGATGAAATGACTCCAACTTTTTGAGCTATATTAATTATTTTACTGTATAATATTTCGTTGTCTTTTGCCATCTTTTGCTGTATTTTTGTCTGGCACTTTTTAATTTGACAGCTTTAAATGAATATGCTCAATCTGTGTGCAGACTTGAAAAAACGAATACATTAACATCTTTACTAGCAATGTAAGGACTTCAAATTGAAAGTAGGTAAGAGAAAAAATTATGTGTAAATATTTTATAGATTTTACAGTCAGTGCAACTTGTCAAATGTGATTTGGACTTACTTTGCCATTGTATTTGCTCACTTCATAAATTATCTCCATGTAATGTCACAAATTGATGTTCGTAACATTAGCTCATGAAAGCAACAATTTCTTTGTAATGTGTAATGCTTTTCCAGTGGCTAAAAGTATAAATAAATGAAATGCATCAAAGGAGAGCCCACATAAGAGAAAAAACTCACAAATGTTCAGTATGTTCAAAGGAATTTGTACAAAAATTACAGCTAAGTGAGCACTCAAAAAATCATATAGGAGTGAAACCATTTAAGTGTTCAGAGTGCCTTAAAGTTTTCAAATGTAAAACCTCTCTTATTCGTCACATCAGACTTCATACAGGAGACAAGCGACATAAATGTTCAATTTGCTCAAAAAGCTTATCACAAAAATCACATCTAGAAGAGCACATGAGAATTCATACAGGAGAGAAGCCATTTAATTGTTTAGTATGTCTAAAAGAGTTCAAACGCAAATCATCACTAATACTTCACATGGGAATTCACACTGGAGAGAAACCACATAAATGTTCAGTATGTTCAAAGAGGTTTTCAAGGAAAAAACATCTAATAGTGCACACAAGAACTCACACAGGTGAGAAACCATATAATTGTTCTGTATGTTCAAGAAACTTCTCACAACAGTCTGTTCTAATAAACCATATGAGAATTCATACAGGAGATAAACCGTATCAGTGTTTAGAATGTCTGAAAGATTTTAAGCGTAAATCATATCTAATACAACACAAAAGAATTCATACAGGAGAGAAACCGTATGGGTGTTCAATATGTTCAAAGAATTTCTCACAAAAATCACATCTAGTAGAGCATGAAAGAATTCATACAGTGAATAAAGTATACAAGTGTTCTGTGTGTCTAAAGGAATTTAAACGTAATTCCTCTCTAATACTTCACATGTTAGTTCATAGAGAAGAGAAACCACATAAATGTTTCGTATGTTCTAGGGATTTTAAAAGGAAAATACATCTAATGCAGCATATGAGAGCTCATACTGGAGAGAAATCACTTAAATGTTCAATATGCTTCAAAGACTTTTCAAAAAAATCATCATTAATACAACACATGACAGCTCATATAGCAGAGAAACCAAATTAGAATATTAATAATATATGATCCAGGAAAAAAACATTCAAGCTTTCATAGCAAAGGTTTGAAAGACATATGTAGAGGTTATACGGTAACACAGGAGTTTATTCATGAGGGAAGCTGTTAAATTTTTATGGACCAAGACTTCAGCAAAAGCAGGTTGCCAAATCTCAGCTGACAGGACGCTATATCTGGAGTATGCCTGGAGAGGGTTTCGGGGGTCAATGCAGCCCGGTCTGTGACCAGGCCTCATGGTGGATCAGGGCCTGATCAACCAGGCTGTTGCTGTTGGCTGATAACAGCCCAGCTGGTCAGGTTCTGACTTTAGGTGTCTGTCCAGTGCCTTCTTGAAGACAGCCAGGGGTCTATTGGTAATCCCCCTTATGTATACTGGCAGGCAGTTGAACAGTCTTGGGCCCCTGACACTGATTGTGTTGTCTCTTATCGTGCTAGTGGCACCCCTGCTTTTCATTGGGGGATGTTGCATCGTCTGCAGAGTCTTTGGCTTTCATAGGGAGTGATTTTCATGTGCAAGTTTGGTACTAATCCTTCTAGGATTTTCCAAGTGTATATAAACATGTATCTCTCCCTCCTGCATTCTAGGGAGTACAGGTTGAGGAACTTCAAGCATTCCCAGTAATTGATGTGTTTTATCACAGTTATGTGTGCTGTGAACGTTCTCTGTACATTTTTAGGTCAACAATTTCACCTGCCTTGAAAGGTGCTGTCAGTGTGCAGCAATATTCCAGCCTAAAGATAAAGATATTTATTTTGACAAATTACATGGTTATACGGAGGAATATAATAGTTGGGTGTACATGTCAAAAGCCCTTTTATATGCAGAGTTTTCAAATGTAAAGGTAATGCTACATGGTTTTCATAAGTCTAGTAGAGACTTATTACACTATTAAATTAGCTAATATAACAATTTAAAACAATTTACAATATGATGTATTACAGTTTAGTACTATTTAAAACAATGAAATTTGGTATTACAATGGAACAATTTACATTATGATGTACTGTATTACAATCTACTACTATATAAAATGATGAAAAAATAGACATCCTAATAGAACAAGAGACCTGAAGAGTCATCATGGGCTTGGCACCCCTAGTTTGAAGGTTCTCATTATCCATCCTGTCATTTTTCTAGCAGATGCGATTGATACACTGTTATGGTCGTTGAAAGTGAGATCCTCTGACATGATCACTCCCAAGTCTTTTGCATTAGTTTTTCACTCTATTGTCTGGTTGGAATTTGGTTTTATACTCTGATACAGTTTTAATTTCCTCAGGTTTTCCATATTGGAGTAATTGAAATTTCTCATCATTGAACTCCATATTGTTTTCTGCGGCCCATTTAAAGATATCGTTGATGTCAACCTGGAGTCTTGCGGTGTCTTCAGTGGAGGACACTGTCATGCTGACTCAACCTATTCTGTTGTTTGAAGAAGATACCTCAGATTAATGATAACTAAAGGTTTCCCTCCTGTTTTGATTAGAAATTTGTAAAGTGGTTAGGCTTTAGCAACATATTTGTGTTGATATGCTTATTGTAAAACATAAGTAGCTACTTTATATTATTGGTTATAAGTTGATTTGTTTTACTAAATAAAAGTGCACAGTTATCTCCTTTCCTTTCCTCCCCAGTCTTATGACTAAGCAATAAAAAAAATATGAAAAAATGAATGGAGTACTGCAAAAAGTTCTTGCCATATTGCCACATGTTGTCATTGTTGTTGGGCTCTAGGGCTGCAGCAGTATTGGGGCTGATTAGGAGTTGAACTGTTCCTTGGTCATCTTAGTCCTTGGGATAGTTACTGGCCTGATTTTACCCACTATAGCTAATCATCTGTTTAGGTTACTACATATGGTCCCTAGTTGCTATGAAATTAAATAAGAGTATTTTTTAGTAATGAATTCCATTACTTCTTGCTGACAGTATTCATTTAAAGATAATCATCAGTTAAGTGGTATTGAAAATGTTAGGCAGCACTGTATGATCCTTGTGGGTTTAGTGCTTAGTTTTGATTATAATAATAATAACTGAAAATATTGTAGTACAAGAATTCCCATATATCAACAATACCTCTGTAGTATGTGTACTTACCACAAGGAATTATTAACCCTTAAATTGTCCAAACAGATCTACGTTCACATGCATAGTGCTCCAAAAGTAGATCTCCATTTTTTTACATATTTTTAAATATAAAAAAAAAATGTAGATCAAAGTTTTTTTACACATTTTCAAATGTAAAAAAAAAAGGTCTACGTTTTTTTACATACTTTCGAATGTTGAAAAAACGAAGATCTACGTTTGGACAGTTTAAGGGCTAATAAACGTAAAATTAGTGGATTTTTCTTTTAACAAAATACTGCAATGTTAATTATGAGAGGGCTCATCAGTAACTACTATACCATAAATATACAGTGGAACCTCAGCTTACAAATTTAATCTGTTCCGTGACCTTGTTCGTGTCCCGCTTTCTTCGTATGCTGAGTCAATTTTCCTCATTTAAATTAATTGAAATGGGATTAATCCATTTCAGCGGAATTACTGCTCTTAGGAGGCACGACAGAATATTTCAATATGATGCTAATATCAACTCTACGGCTTATTTAAATATCACAATTCATCCAATTTCACCATCACTCAATTAATGCACAACAGGTGCATCATTGTCAGTGTTCAGCATTTCTTCGATGTCAGCTTTCTGTAACTCCATTAGCACACAGTCAAGACGAGTAAATTTAATTGTCAACGCTTATTGCTTGGGTACGTTTATTCTGTTAGTGGACTGGATCTGTGAAGGACCTGCCTAGTATGGGCCAACAGGCCTACTGCAGTGTTCCTCGTTTCTTATGTTATTATGTACCCATGACACCAATCATACCCAGCTCCTCCCACTCATATTTGTCCAATCTCTTTTTAAAGCTACCCAAGGTTCTATTGAAGCTAAAACCTTGGGTAGTTTCAAATTTATGTTGGATAAATACATGAGTGAGAGGGGTTGGATGTGAGTGGGACCTGCACATGAGTAAATAGAAATATCAAAGGTTACTGCTTGGGTAGCATTGAAAACTGAGTTGGGCAAATATTCTGTTAGTGGGATGGATTGTGAAGGACCTGCCTAGTATGGGCCAACAGGCCTGCTGCAGTGTATTATTATTAGTATGCATTATAATAATAATAATAATAATTATTATTATTATTATTAATTTAGGGAAGTGAAGCACAGATCCACCTCACCCCATAGTTCTCCGTATCCAACTCTGGCTACGCCGTATCTCTACCAAGCATAAAGATATTGTTTTTTATTGGGTCCCTGGTCATGTTGACGTACAGGGCAATGAACAGGCAGACACTGTTGCGAGGTCAGCAGTACATGACCTACCAATTTCATATAGAGGTGTTCCATTTCCGGACTATTTTGCTGTAATAGCTACCTACCTTCACACCCGTTGGCAACAACGTTGGTCTGCTCTGCTCAATAACAAACTTTGTTCTATTAAACCGAATATAGGTTACTGGCCATCTTCTTGTCACCAGTGTCAAGGTTGGGAGACTACTCTCTCCCGCCTTCGCATTGGCCATACTCGTCTTACTCATGGATATCTCATGGAGAGGTGCCCTGCTCCTCTCTCTGAGAAGTGTCAGGTTCCATTATTGGTCAGCCACATTCTGTTAGACTGCCCACTTTATCAACGAGCACGTAGAATTTACCTCCAACATCATCTTCACTCAGCTGCTCTCTCTTTACCTTCCCTTCTCGCTGATAGACCCACCTTTCATCCAGACTCTCTCAATGACTTTTTGACAACAACTGACTTACTCCACAAACTCTGATGATACCTTCAGCCCTTTCTACCTCAATATCTTGCTACCCTCTACCCCCGTATTATCCCCTGCCCCGCTGTTTTCTGTAACCTACTAATCATCCCTCCCCCCTTCTGCCGCCCGATACCCTCGCTTCCTTCCCTACCCTGCAGCGCTGTATAGCCCTTGTGGCTTAGCGCTTCTTTTTTATTATAATAATAATATATTATGTTTGGTAACAAAGCAGGTGTTGCGCAACTAAACATTAAGATTGACAGCACTCTAATTGCCAGACATAATGAGGGCAAATTCCTAGGCCTAAACCTCGACAACAACCTGAATTTCAGCACCCATATCCAACACAACAAAAAAAGTATCCAAAACAGTTGGGATCCTCTCCAAGATACGATACTACATGCCGCAAAATGCCCTTCTCACACTATACCACTCACTCATTTATCCATACCTCACCTATGCTATTTGTGCATGGGGATCAACTGCAGCAACACACCTAAAGCCAATAATAACCCAACAAAAAGCTGCAGTAAGAATAATCACTAAATCCCATCCCTGGCAACACACCTCACCACTCTTCATAGATCTAAACTTACTCCCTGTTCAGAACATCCACACTTACTACTGTGCAATCTACATATACAGGACCTTAAATTCCAATATTAACCTTGACCTAAAATGCTTTCTTGATAGTTGAGACAGGACCCACAGGCATAACACCAGACACAAACATCTCTATGACATTCCCCGTTTCTGACTAAACCTTTACAAAAATTCAATGTATGCCAAAGGCCCTAAAATCTGGAACACCCTGCCTGAAAACTCTAGAACTGCAGACATATTCATCACCTTCAAAACTACCGTTAGAAAACATCTTATCCTCCTGATACACCCCATCAACTAACTACATAAAAACCACCTGGTGGTTCACAATTACACTCACTCACCCATATGACTATAAGCACAGAAATACGCATCTTAATCTTAAAATAATGATTCCTAACTAGTCACAAGTTTGCCTGTGATACTCCAGAAACTATGTATTGTGCCATAAGAAAAGCATTCACATTGCTAAACTCACAAACTAGTATTTAGTCACTTAGTAGTTAGTCACTTAGTATTTAGTCAACTTACTCCACAATTTGTAATAATTTAGGGTTAAGAATTAATCTAAGTTTGCCCGAAATGCCTAGCCTTGCTAGGTGTTCTAGTGCCCCCTTCTGTAATTAGTATTTTATTACATGTAAACCACACAACCAAAATCTGTAAACCCTGCATTGTAATCCTTATAGATTTGATATATAGTAGTATATCATTGATATCACCTAGGCCTGTATACCTTGTACAAGTAGTAAGATATTATTATTATTATAGAATGGAAGTGGGAGAGATATATGATTATATACACTTGGAAAATCCTAGAGGGATTAGTACCAAACTTACACACAAAAATCACTCCCTATGAAAGCAAAAGACTCGGCAGATAATGCAACATCCCCCCAATGAAAAGCAGGGATGCCACTAGCACTATAAGAGACAACACAGTAAGTGTCAGGGGCCAAAGACTGTTCATCTGCCTCCCAGCTTACATAAGAGGGATTACCAATAGACTTGGGTGGCCCGGTGGTCTGGTGGCTAAAGCTCCCGCTTCACACACGGAGGGCCCGGGTTCGATTCCCGGCGGGTGGAAATTCCGACACGTTTCCTTACACCTATTGTCCTGTTCACCTAGCAGCAAATAGGTACCTGGGTGTTAGTCGACTGGTGTGGGTCGCATCCTGGGGGACAAGATTAAGAACCCCAATGGAAATAAGTTAGACAGTCCTCGATGACGCACTGACTTTCTTGGGTTATCCTGGGTGGCTAACCCTCCGGGGTTAAAAATCCGAACGAAATCTTATCTTACTCCTGGCTGTCTTCAAGAAGGTGCTGAACAGGCATCTGAAGTCAGTACCTGACCAGCCGGGCTTTGGTTCGTATGTTGGGTTTTGTGCAGCTAACAGTAACAGCCTGGTTGATGAGGCCCTGATCCACCATGAGGCCTGGTCACAGACCGCGCCGTGGAGGCATTGACCCCCGAAACCTCCAGGTACACAAGGTGTACAGGCCTAGATGACATCAATAATATACAACTATATATATATATATCCCTTTCAGGGTCCACAGGCCCTCTCAGAGAATTGTTCTCAAGGTCTCCCAAATTTCAAAAAAAAATCTTTTTTCTTATGAAAAGAGAATCTTTTCCTGATCATAATGACACCAAAAGTATGAAATTTGATGGAAAACCTATGGAATTATGCTCTCACAAAGTTAGCGGTCTCAACGATGTTTACGCATCAGCGATTTTGCCCAATTTGAGCCCTATTTTCAGCCAATTCCAGTGTACTAGTCGACAAAAATCATGCCTATTTCGCTAAACTCCATTTTTTCTATCGAATGAGTGCAAGAAACCACCCATTTACCGATTTCATCTATCCAATACAGTGATCAGAATTTAGCAATTTTGCCAATTTCACAAATTTCAAAAAATGCCCATTTCCAAATAGGGTTCAGAATAAACAAGACATTCCTGGCACTAAAATAACATTTCCTCTGTTCATTAGTCACGTCCCCACGCCCCTCTTACATTCTTTTGCTTTCCATTTTGAATTTTTATTCTCATTATTATTATTATAATCAAAAAGAAGCGCTAAGCCACAAGGGCTATACAGCATTTTTATTCTCAAAAAATAGAAGATTTACTGTTATGCAGACTACTGCATTAGTGTAGAAATGGTATAAATAATATCGGCGCAC